CAAAAATCAGGGCTTAAGTACTATTTCCCCTTGTCTGTGAGTAAGGGTTTCTTGGAAAAAATTTATAGTGTTCAGTTTTGTTACTAGGATTTATAAACATTTTCCCCATCTTAAAACATTAAAATGTTTGGGTCAAAGATGACATTTTTGAGTCATAAAAACCTGGACTTCTGTCATATTTATTGAATATTAGACACTAAGCCTTTTCTAACCTGACATTATAAGTAATTTAAGATTATATGCGGTCATCTGTGTTTTTCTTGGGGGAAATGGATCCATGATACTTTTTAAGAAGCTAATAATGGAATGAAATTAACAGAAGTTTATTTCTTCAGGTAAACTTTCCTGAAAACGGCTTCCTCTCTCCTGATAAACTCTCTTTGCTGGAAAAACTCCTTCCTGAGAGGAAGGAAGTAGAAGAGACTGATGAAATGGATCAGGTAGAACTGGTGGACTTTGATCCAAATCAGGAAAGACGGCGCCATTATAATGGAGAAGCTTACGAGGATGATGAACATCACCCTAGAGGTGGTGTTCAGTGTCAAACCTCGTAATGGGGCCAGTGAATAGCACCCACTACTGCCATTTTAAATGCAGTAGTGAATGAGTGAAGGACTAATCATAATAAGCTCACTACTTGCTATTGTTTTTTGTTGTAATATTCAACTGTAGTAGTGTTTTAAAAGTTACATGAAGAATAAACAAATATAAAAGCTCTGACTTTGCTCTGTATGATGACTTCAGTGTGCAAGATGAAGTTTTAATACCTGTAAAAACTACTTTTAAAATAGTTCCTCTAGCATCTGTTAAACCACATCTTGTAATTGATTCAGCTGTGTACATGGACAAAGCTTAAACTGAAATGCTAGGTATATGTGTTGACTTTGGTGTATGGCCTTTTATCATTAATCTGTGGGGCTAAAACTTTGTGTTTGGCTAGTAATCTGAAAAAGAGAAATTTGTAGAGAAATGTTGGTTTGTCTAGCTATTTGTATTAAGTGGACTCATTGTGATGCCTTTGCATTTTATTGCCTCAACTATTACTTGAAGAGTGGCGTAATACATAATTTAGCGTGTGTTAACAGTGATACAGAAATGATACCTTCCTAGTGAAGAGGTTTATCATATGCTGCTTCTAAGGGCTTGCACTTCTAGAATTGCATCCCCACTGTCATCTTTTTAAATATATATATGTGTGTTCATATATAAATATGCACATATATATTATGTTGGTTGGAAATAGTTATGTTCTTTTTCCCTTTGAACCACTATAAAGCCCTTGAGTATCAAGTGACTTTCAGAGTTGGGTAGAAAAAAAACAATTGAAAAGACCTGTACATTGAGAAGTTGCATGTATAACCTAGGAAGGTGTTCCTTAGATATGTTACAGGCTTACTTTAAACCATTTGCTCCAAAGTAACTGTAATTCGATGTTGGTAGTATAGCAAATTACAATGAATAGCTTTAACTGTATGTTTAAAGTCATATGTTCATAAGCTTAAATCTGGATATCAGAATTTAAGCAATTACTGAAATGTATGAAATGTCTCCTTAATATACTGATTACAAAGTAATTCCAGTGTGTCACTACAGGTTTTTTTTTCCCTGTGATCACCACGACATTTGCTTTTAAAAATTGAAACACAGAAACTAAAACTGGTTAAGTCCCAAAGGTCTTTGGTAGCAAGTCAAAGCACTGAATGACTGCATTGAAGGTTAGAAAACTACCAACACAGGGATAATACCAATACCTGCATATGTGACTTAGGAGAGTTAACCTTAAACAAGGTCAGACCAGAATTTACCAACTTGGGAAAATGATGTACTTTCTAGCATCTCTTGAAATAGAAATGATTCTAAAGCACAGTGAGAATGCTAGCAAGCTGCACAATTCCAGAAGGAAAAAAAAAGCTTTCTGTCACTTGAAGTTGTTAAGTTGACCATCATAACCTTAAGGAACGAAGAGCAAAAGCATCTTTTTTAAACACTTTACCTAATTCCCTGCTTTATAAGAAAACTAGTATACTAGTTGAATTTGAACATGCTGGGCATGTTAAACCAGTTTGTGCACATCTATAAACTGCCCATTGATGTTTTCACTATGGGCTCCTACTTATACTTCAGTGCTGTCCGATCATCTCTACCCGTTGTTCTTAGGTAAAACTTAAGGGATTATAAACAACCTATGAACTCTGTCCCAATTCCATTGCTAAAGATTGAGGTGAGGAAAATGACAGCAAAATTCAGGCAGGCAGAAGAGAAGAAATGGAGCTTTGCCACTAAGTTGGTTTTCAGTGTGAAAATTTGTGGAGTCTGCTTTGATCCTGGGGCTTGAACTTCGCTGGGACATGCACCTTTCCCTTTTTTGCTTATGGCTGGTGCTCTGCCATTTGAGCCAGAACTCTACATCCAACTTTTTGCTGGTTAGTCTGACTTTTTTGCCTGGACTGGCTTTCATCATGAGTAGCTGAGGACAGATATAAGCTACGGGCCCAGATCTTCATTCTGTGGTTCTGAGAATATTAAGAATACTGAACCTGAGATTTGTGCCATGAATCTTAATTTTCAGTGAGTACGTATAAAGAATAGGATAACATTTATGTATGTATTGAGTTTTATTGTTAAGAACAATATCAAGTCTAATGAGCCCAGGCTACTCCCTAATAACCAAATCACAAGCCTCATTTCAAAATAGTGCTTGTTGATTCCTGGCACCCAGCTTGCATCAGCTTTTGCTAACTAGTCTTACAGAACAGCCCAGGAATGTTAAGGGGAAAACAACCGCATGACCCCACTCCTGACAGTTGCTCCCAATCCCACTAGATCAGTGGCTTACCTTCCTTGTCCTGGACCCATGCTCAATGGGCAAACAGGAAACAGGTAACTTGTACATTCACAGGCTTCCGGTGAAGGGTCTGGGGTTTCAGCCTTCAGCCCTGGAGGGGACTGCCATCTATTGTTTAAGAAAATCCAGGCAAAGCAAGACAACAGTGGCTCATACTTAACAATTCAAACTACTCAGGCAGCTCACATCTGAGGATCAGTGTTTTATCCCAGACAGGCAAATCTGACTCCTCCAAATATACCAGAAAGATGCTGGAAAGTAGTAGAGTGCCAGCCTTGAGCAAAAAAGCTAAGCAAGAGCCTAAGCCTGAGTTTAATTCCCAGTCACACATGTTAAAAAAAGTTCCTATTTTAGAAAGTCTTGAAAGATTTAACAAATACTGCCTGAGGAAAGTATAAAAGTTGGGCTTTCAAGTTTTGCAGTTAGGACAAATGTATTATCTCACTAAAAACTGCTGGTAGCTCACACCTGTAATCCTAGCTACTTAGGAGGCTGAGATCTGAGGATCTCTGTTCAAAGCCAGCGTGGGCAGGAAAGTCCTTGAGACTCTTTATTGCCAATTAACCACCAGAAAACTGGAAATGGTGCAGTGGCTCAAGTGGTAGAGCACTCACCTTTGTGCTGAAGAACACAGGGACAGTGCCCAAGTCCATAGTTCAAGCCCCACCACCAATGGGGAAAAAAAAATCCAATTCAGGTCCCTCCCTAATCTTTCTTTACAAAAGATTGCTTCATGCAAAAATCCTTTATTCCCAGCTTCTGTTTTGTTGATTGTTTTGACAAGGGTCTTCCTATGCAGCCCAGGCTGTGCTTCAGACTCCCAAATGTTATCTTGTCTGATGTGTGACAAACTTTCCTCATGCCAATTTAAAACTTTTAATTAAAAGCATGTCTAAAGTAGATAACCAGCTGTAAATAAAAAAATACCAAGTGAAGGCCTGAGCTAAAAACCCATTACCACCATTAAAAAAAAAAAATGTAAGCTCGGGGCTGGGAAGTTGGCTCAGTGGTAGAGCACTTGCCTTGCATGCCTGAGGCCCTGGGTTCGATTCCTCAGCACCACATAAGCAAAAAGAAAAAAGCCGGAAGTGAAGCTGTGGCTCAAGCGGTAGAGTGCTAGCCTTGAGCTGAAGAGCTGAGGGACAGCGCTCAGGCCCAGAGTTCAGGCCCCACGACCGGACCAAAAAAAAAAAAAAAAAAAGTAAACTACATTGTATATTAGTCCTAAACTAATGGATATATTCAATTCCCATGAGTTTTTTTTTTTTGGGGGGGGGGTCCAGTCTGGGCCTGGGCACTGTCCTTCAGCTCTTCAGCTCAAGGCTAGCGCATTACCACTTGAGCCACAGCGCCACTTCCAGTTTTTTTCTTTTTGCTTATGTGGTGCTGAGAAATCGAACCCAGGGCCTCAGGCATGCAAGGCAAGCGCTCTACCACTGAGCTACCTTCCCAGCCCAATTCCCATGAGTTTTAAGACATCAAAACTGCTACAAACTAAATTAACTGAGACAAAAGGCAGTGGGGTTTGCAGCAAAAGGGAAAAAAGTTACAGATGATGACTGGAAAAGGTTTCTTAATGCTGCACAAAGTAAACAGCCAATATTGACTATTATGTGCCAGGCATAGGATGGGGCCACATTCAAGTCACAAAAAATGAGAATGCAAAAGTTAAAAAAAAAAAAAAAAAAACCTTTTGTCAGGCGTTGGTGGCTCATGCCTGTAATTCTAGGTACTCAGAAGGCTGAAATCTGAGGATTGCAGTTCAAAGCCAGTCTGGCCAGGAAAGTCTGTGACACTCTTTAACTCCAATAAAATGTTCAGAAAACCAGAAGTGGTACTGTGGCTCAAATGGTAGAGTGCTAGCCTTGAGCTAAAGAGCTGAGGGACAGCGTCCTGGCACATGACTGACCAAAAAAAACCCTTTTCCCCACTAGTTCTTAAATGCTAAGCGTAAAGGAGGGCATAGAAAGCCTAGAAATAAGATCTTTAAGAGTCCTACACACTCTCAATTGATTCCCACCCCCCCTTTTTTTTTTTTTTTTTGCAGTACTAGGGTTTGAATTCAGGGCCTCCCTCTTGCAGGCCCTCTACAACTTGAGCTATGTCCCCAAGCCCTACATCTTTGGTTTAAAGGTCAAAGAGAAATCCATGTGCAAAATATTTAAGAGTTTTATTATCTTTGAAATGTTTTTAGCTGATGACTATGATCATTACAAAAGACTTAAATCTCAGGTCCTTGTCTAATTTTTCAGAACAGCATATTGGGCTAGGGGCGTAGCTCAAAAGGTATAGTGCTTATCTAGAACAGCAGCTCATTTTCAATGCCAAACCCTCCTCCACATGACAGATGATGCCAAAACTGGTCTCAACTGATCCTGCAACTATTTCCAACCAGAAGATGGGGGACTATATTCCCTGAAGTTAGACTGAACATAGGAGAAGGCACAGCTCAAAATGAGCAAAAAAGACAGTACCATGAGATTATGATAGTTTTTATGTCAGTCAATCCAACTGCTATCAATGTGAACTCAGGACTTGATGATAATGAGTTCTCTCACCATTTTTAGTAAACATACTGACGAGATGAATATTTATTTACAAAGCATCCAGAAATGTGTGCTTTATTAACATCTTAAAAAACAGCTACTGAATACTGGGGGTATTTACAAGGTTTATGATGGGAAGTAAATTGCAATCAGGATTTTAGATAATCAAAGAAGTCCATCTTTTTTTCCTAGAAATACCAGTAATATGTCTGCTATAGTTATAAGCAGAAAAACTAAAATCTTAAAAATATATTTTTAAAAGGGTAACTTTTTAAGACTAATTATGCTTGGCTAAATGGGATACTTTTTCTTTTTTCTTTTTTTTTAGAAAGTTGACCTGAAAAAAACAAACACATAAGTATGTCTTCTAAGTACATGCTTCAAGCCAGATTTTTAAAAGGTGAATTAGGGTTTCCAGAGCTTTAAGAGTCCATCTTCACTGTAGGTAGCAATCAAATTCTGATGAGGATGATGTGCAATACCAATCACATCCTTCTCGTGAACCTGGAATGGGTAAAGAGAGTGTACATATCTTAATAAATAACCCCAAAGAGGTTCCCAGAACTGAGTGGAAAAGATCTTGAAAGTTCACATAGTCCAAATGACACAGCGAAAAGAGGATATTCAACTCACATATTGTAAAACAAAATCTTGAGGCTGAGAATGTGGCTTACTGGTAGAGTGCTTGTTCTAGCATGCCTGAAGCCCTGGGTTCGATTCCTTAGTACCGCATAAACAGAAAAGCCAGAAGTGGTGTTGTGACAAATGGTAGCCTTGAGCAAAAGCAGCCCAGGGACAATGCCTAGGCCCTGAGTTTAAGCCCCAGGACTGGCAAATAATAAATAAATAATAAAACTTAGGAGAGGGTCTGGGAAGGTGGCTCAGTAGTAGAGCGCTTGCCTTGCATGCCTGAGGCCCTGGGTTCGATTCCTCAGCACCACATAAGCAAAAAGAATAAAGCCGGAAGTGGCGCTGTGGCTCAAGTGGTAGAGTGCTAGCCTTGAGCTGAAGAGCTGAGGGACAGCACCCAGGCCCAGAGTTCAGGCCCCATGACCGGACCCCCCCAAAAAACTTAGTAGAACCAGCAGGCAAGCATAAGGCCCTGAGTTCAAACCCTAGTATTGATAACAACAACAACAACAAAAAACCTTTTATTGTAAGCCCCTGACATTTGGAGACTTTAACACTGCTAGCATTAATTCCTTGTCTGACTTCAATATGAGAGCTGAAAGGGAAAAAAAACCCTGAAAAACAAAAAAAACACCACCACAACAAAAAAAAATCTAATTAGGACGATGGAGACAATGCATAAATAATATGCCCTCCAAATGATACAGAGAAAAATATGTGCTATCTGTCAGCCCCCATGAGGAAGATCTGGTTAATCTAGCTGCTCCACAGGTTCTACTCCCTTCTCTGCTTTATGTACACACATCTTCTGTCTACCTGAAGCTAAGGGAGTCACTAAAGGATGATTTTTCCTGGTAAAGGAGATAATTTCATACCATTACTTATGGTCTCTTATTTTTATTTGAATGGTAAAACACCTCCATTACACTTTCTTCATACTTAGGTTCACAATGGTAATACTGTAAAAAAGTATGTACTGCAGAGAACACAAAGTATTGAGGCATTTCCATATATATGTTTCCGATGTGCAACCCACTTCAGTGCCAGAAACCTACAGGCAGAGGCCAGGCCATGGTTCTGGGCCAGATGGCTCTGGCATGGAACACTGTGAGAAGCTCAGGGTAACAAGCCTGCCATAAATCCAAACCTATGCATTACCATAAATTCTTTAGATGACCTTAGTAATACTTACTGTCAAAGTTCTCTCCAGCTTGCCAGTGACTGTGCTAAAGCAGTAGAGCACAAAGTCTTCCCCCACACAGTAAATCCATTCACCACGAGGAGAGAGAGCACAGCAAACAAAGTCACCACCTTCTCTTTTACCAGAGCTGAAGCTTCTGACAATCTAGATCACATCATACCCAAGGAAAAAAACAAAACAAAACACTGGTTTAAGAGTTTGGCCACAAGCACCACTGCTTTTTTCCCCTTTTAGGTGCTAAAATACTTGTATTGAGGTCTGACATTTTGAAAACTACATTTAAAAAATGGACATTTTGCCGGGCGCTGGTGCCTCACGCCTGTAATCCTAGCTACTCAGGAGGCTGAGATCTGAGGATTGCGGTTCAAAGCCAGCCCGGGCAGGAGAGACCGTGAGACTCCTATCTCCAATAAACCACCAGAAAACTGGAAGTGGCGCTGTAGCTCAAGGGGTAGAGCACTCGCCTTGAGCTGAAAAGCTGAGGGGCAGCGCCCAGGCCCAGAGTTCAAGCCCCACAACCGACAAAAGAAAAAAAGAGGACATTTTTACATGGTTACTTTGCACTTTGTTTACTATCTTCAATTGGATTCTTCATGTGCTAAATCTTACAAGGGAAATAGTCAACAGATGAAGTAAGTGGCAGATAAAAGTTTTCAAATTTATACATCTGAGCCACCGAATTTGCTCTTTAGTGATCATACTATCAGGAAGCAAACTCATTACTACAAACAGTAAAATCAGTGTAGAATCATTTTCTCCCCTACCATGCTTCCTTCTCTTTTTCTCCCTCCTAACCCCCATCCTATATAGGATTTCCCTATGTAGACCAAGCTGGTCTCCAACTTCAATCCAACTGCCTTGTTCTCCAAGTGCTGAGATTGCAGGCATGAACCACAATGCCTGGCATACCATCAATTCTTTTTTTTTTTTTTGTCAGTCATAGGGCTTGAACTCTAGGCCTGGGCGCTGTCCCTCAGCTCTTCCACTGAAGGCTAGCACTCTACCACTTGAATATCAGCCCTGCTTCCGGCTTTTTCTGTTTTTGTGGTGCTGAGGAATCAAACCCAGGGCCTCATGCATGCAAGGCAAGCCCTCTACCACTGAGCCACCTTCCCAGCCCCACCATCAATTCTTAATATTTTCTGAATTTATGTTTCTCAATTTCCTTCCTAATAGATGCAATGTTCGCCTCATGAAGGATGGAATGATCTGTAATCCTTTATTTTATAACAGTAAAATCATCATTAGCCAAGCTAAGAGGAAACCAATTTGAAAAAGTTAAAAGGGTCATAATGATGCATGCCTGTACAGTCCTAGCCCTTGGAAGACTGAGGCCGTGTGACTGAATTTAAGGCAGCTTGAGCTATAGTGAGACCTTGTCTCAAAACAAAAGGCAATTACTGTCGGGAGCCGGTGGCTCACGCCTGTAATCCTAACTTCTTAGGAGGCTGAGATCTGAGGATTGCGGTTCAAAGCCAGTCCGGGCAGGAAAGTCTGTGAAACTCTTATCTCCAATAAAAACCACCAGAAAACCGGAAGTGGCACTGTAGCTCAAGTGGTAGAGCGTTAGCCTTGAACTGAAGAGCTGAGGGACAGTGCCCAAGCCCAGAGTTCCAGCCCCACGACAAAGACAAAGAACCAAAAAGGCAACTACTCAGAGCAATACAGGAAGTAAAAAAAAGGAAAAGGAAAAAACTTCAGAACCTACACAAAGTTGGGCGCCGCTGGCTCACGCCTGTAATCCTAGCTACTCAGGAGACTGAGATCTGAGGATCATGGTTCAAAGCCAGCCAGGGCAGGAAAGTCTGTGAAACTCTTATCTCCAATAAAAACTACCAGAAAACCGGAAGTGGCACTGTAGTTCAAGTGGTAGAGCGCTCGCCTAGAGCTGAGGGACAGCACTCGGGCAAAAAAAAAAAAAAAAAAGAACCTACACAAAGATGGTAAAGCAGGAAGGCCCTTCCCCCACCTCTTACTGGCGGTGGGGGGGCCCCCCTACCCGAGCTGCTCAAGCTGCCTGGCTGGGGACCCGATAGGGACCACAGAGCCACAAGGGTCCCAAGGCTCCTGGAAGACTCCCAAGTGGCAGAGCCGACCCAGAGAATACAAACAAAACTTGGAACTCAGAACCTGCACAAAGACACCCCTCCTACCCCCGCCCCTCCGACCACGACAGTGTGGCACCTCTCTGCACCAGCTGGCAGGAACAGCCCAGTCCAGCCTGGGGTGACAGCGGACAACCCCAGGCTCTCTGCACCAGCCGGCAGGAACAGCCCAGCCCAGCCTGGGGTGGTGATGGCATGGTGCCCCTCTGCACAGGCCTGCAGGAACAGCCCAGACAGCAACCACACAGGGGAGAACGCCAAGTGGAAGTGAAAAAGAAATGGAAGACAAACGCTACATCCAAGAGATGATAGAGGCAATGAGTCAAGAATTAAAACGAGAAATAGATCAGCAATTTAAAGAACAAAGGAAAAAGCTATCAAGAAATCCAAGCCTTCAAACAAGAAATGCACTCAAAAATAGATGCAGTACATGTCTCACTAAAAGATGAGATTATACTCTAACGAACAACATAGAAATTATAAATGGCTCAATTTCCATAGAATACCAGGTACCGAAGACAAAATGCCGGCATTGGAAAAAAAAGTCACAGATATGGAAAAAACACTCAAAATATGCCAAAGGAAAGTCCAAGAACAAGCAGACTGTACCAAGAAATTTTACCTTTGTATAAATGGGGTAGACAAAGGGGAGGAAATAAACAATCTTGCATGCAGCAAAAGCAAAGAAGGAGCTATTCTACAATGGGAATCACTGGAGACCTCTCCATACACACACTGAATGCAAGGAAAGCCTGGTAAAGTATCATGTGAGCCCTGAGAACCAGTAACTGCCAGCCCAGACTGGTATATCCAGTAAAGCTAGCATTCACATTCGATGGAGAAACTAAAATTTTAATAGTAAGGAAAAACTAAATGAATTCATAAACAATAAGCCAGCATTACAAAGAATATTAAGAGAGGGATTATAATATGGAGAAAACAATCAAGATCAGGGATCCATACCAGATAGATATCAGTAGGAGACTAACTTAGTAAACACAGGAGGAAAGGAAAGAAGAAAAACTTAGCAAAGTAGGAAAATGACAGGAAACACAATATACTTCTCCATAATAACCATAAATATTGATGGACTCAATTCACCAATCAAAAGAAAAAGAACTGCAGACTGATCAGAAAACAAGATTCATCAATTTGCTGTCTTCAAGAGATCCACCTCACAGCCAAAGATAAAAACAAACTCCCAGTGAAAGGATGGAGGAAGATCTACCATGCAATGCCCCCAGCAAGAACGCAGGAGATATCTGATAAAATAAACTTTACATTAAAATCATTACAAAAAGACAAAGAAGGTCACTACATATTAATACAGGGAACAATCCAAGACGAGGATATTACCATTGTCAATCTATATGTCCCAAACATCGGTGCACCCAAATATGTTACATGAATACTCTTAGATTTACAGGAAAAGATGGATCCAAATACAATAATACTAGGAGACTTTAATACTCTACTCTCACCAAAGGACAGGTCTACCATCCAAAGAATTGGCAAAGAGGTCTCTGAATTAAGATGCCATATCTCAAGCAGACTTAACTGACATATACCGAGTTCCACCCAACAACAACCCAGTACACATTCTTCTCAGGAGCCCAGGGAACTTTTTCATGGAACTAAGATCATATCTTAGTTCAAGGAATTTAAGCAAATACAAGAGGATCAACATAATCTCCTGTATTTTATCTGACCATAGTGGAATCAAACTAGTTCTCGGTAACAAGGCATATAGTAGAAAAAACTCAAACACATGGAAATTAAACAGCACACTGCTGAGCAACACATGGGTCACAGAAGAAATTAAAGAAATTAAAAAGTTCCTACAATTCAATGAAAATGAAGATGCATTACAAAGAAACCTATGGGACACAGTGAAAGCAGTTCTGAGGGGCAAATTTATTGCTCTCAGTGCACATACCAAGATTCCAATCTTTTTTTTTTTTTTTAACTCTGGGCCTGGGCGCTGTCCCTGCGCTCTTCAGCTCAAGGTGAGCGCTCTACCGCTTGAGCCACAAACGCCACTTCCTCAGTGCACATATCAAGAAAACGGTAACAGACCAAGTAAACAATCTCATAATGCAACAAAAACTGCTAGAGAAACAAGAAAAAGTTGAACCTAAAATTGCTAGATGGAGGGAGATAATCAAAATAAGAGCTGGCATTAACAAGACAGAAACTAAGAAAACTATAAATAAAGTTAATAAAACAAAAACTTTTTTTTTTTACTCAATAAAATTGACAGACTAATGGCAAGATTGACTAAAAAAAGAAGAGACCCAAATCAATAAGATCAGGGATGCCACAGGAAAAATTACAAGAAACATCCAAGACATCCAAACAATTATAAAGAAATATTTCCAGATGCTATACTCACTAAGGAAGGAAAACCTAGCAGAAATGGATGAATTTCTACAGAAATACAAATTTCTATTCCCCCCTTTCCTTTTCAGCCATGCTTCTCTACCATGTATGGTGTGGCAGCAGTTTGGTAAACATGTCAATAACCTACAATGAGATAGAGGAAGCAATCAGAAACCTTCCAACAAGGAAAAGCCTAGGACCAGATGGATTCACTACAGAACTCTATAAGGCCTTTAAAGAGGAACTAATAACCATTCTCCTCAAGTTCTTCAGAGAAACAGAAACAGAGGGAGTAATCCCAACGTCATTCTATGAAGCCAATATCACACTCATCCCCAAACCAGGCAAAGACACAACAACAACAAAAAGGAGTACAGACCAATCTCTTTGATGAACACAGATGCAAAGCTCCCCAATAAAATTCTAGCCAACAGAATCCAGAAACATATCAAAAAAAAAATCATACATTATGACCAAGTAGGCTTCATCCCAGAGATGCAGAACATATGAAAATCAATAAATGTAATCCATCACATCAACAGATCCAAGGTCAAGAACCACATGATTATCTCCATTGACGTGGAAAAGGTTTTTGATAAAATACAGCACTCAATCATGTTAAAAAGCTCTGGAAAAAATAGGAATAGAAGGAACATTCCT